TAGCAGCGAGTAGTTACCGGCCAAGGGGTGTGGGAAAAGTTAATTGACTTTAATGACAGGTTTCCCGGGACGGCGGTGACGCCGAGGGGGTCCAGTTTAACCCCTGGGTCCCCGCTCCAGAAACACGTGGGGTGGAAGGGGGAGCGAGGGGGTGCGCATCGCGGAGTCGCGCTTAGTCACCATTTAGGGGAGGCTCCTTTCTTGACCTGGAGAGACCCCTCCGCCCCCTCCTTCCAGTTCAGCGGCTTTCCCGCTCCGGGTGCCAGGGTCCGAGAGGGCCGGGCCCGGGAGGGTCTCCAGAGAGAGGCTAATGCGGGGGCCGGCCCAGGCCCGTGGCCCGCATCCCTACCTGGAGCTCGGGGCTGTGCCTTATCTCCTGGAGCCATCAGCGCCGCCGGGGGCGGGGGGAGGGCTGCTGGGGGTGCCCCAAGGCGGTGTAAGTAGGCAAGCCAGAGGGATCCTGGTGAGGGTGGGGCAAGACTGAAGTGGTCTTTGAAGCTTCGCCTCCCCGCACTGATTGCTCCAGAATCAGCCTGGGTGCAGGACGGCGCAAAGTCTTAGGAATAAACCTACTCACGTTACGGGTGTAGAATTGTCCCGGAGAAGGGAAGTGACTCGTGCAAAGTGACACAGTGGGTTTAGTAGCAGAACGGGCATCGGAGCCCAGGGTCTCCCCTTGTCCATACTGTACAGAAACAAATGCCTCATCTAGTAATCTAAACCCATATTTCAGGGGAAAATACTACTTTTATTTTCAAGTGAATAAACGTTTACTTCTTTTAAAAAAATTATTACTACCCTCCCCAAGATACCTATGTACTGTTGATATTAATAAAAACTCACCTTTCCCCCGTTGTTTCCCTTTAGCACAGGGAAAGACAGAGACTTAGTTTAAAGTTGGTGTAGAGATTGCAGGGGCGGGGGAGCGAGGGAGGAGAGAATGTAGAATTTTTAAAAACACAAATGTACTTTGATAAAAATGGGACTGATGTCTCCATTGTTCCCTCCAGGATAGTTAAGGACTTCTAGTGGGGCCAGAAGACAAGTTTACCTAATGAAGTATTGGAGCTTTGGGTTGGGAGTCTTGATAGAGCAATTATTATCATGTTTGTGTTTAAACAAGAGGGAAATCTTGGAAATTTATGATGAAGAAGGGTGTGAGTGTGTATACTAGTATTTATTTGGGCGTAGGGTGTATTGGGCCCTTTTCACATACACGAAATGAAGCAAGCAGAAGCCAAATTTTTTAAAGTAGCTTTTAAATCTCTTCCTCTGAGTCTGAAGTTGGATAGGAGGTATCTGAATAGGAAAGGAACCGCTGTCTGCTAGATCATCCCTTTGATAGAGCTGCTCTCCACACTGGCCTGTGGGAAAGGCCGGAGAAGGCAGGGGAGGAGGTAAAGCTTTTGAAACAAGACAGAAAATCGTTGGTTTTATCTTTGTTAGGAAGGCTTCAAAGATCGATCTCTCCCGCCTCATCCTTCTCCTCCCAGAAGCCCTTCTAAAGAAAGGGCGGGGGAGGGGGGCGGGTGGCGGTGAGGTGA